CCACCTTACCTGCCCAGACTGGGGCTCCCTGGGCAGTGCAGCTGCTGGGGAGCAGCCTGACTCCACTCTTGAGGCAAGGCTGAAGATGCCAGCCCAGCACCACCACGTGTCGCCACCCCAGTGAGACCTGCTGGGAGTTGGAGAGGTGCTGGCTGCTGCTGCTAACAAGGGGGTGGGACTGCTACCTGAGCCCAGGGACCGCCCACTCCTTGTCAGGCTGCCTCAGACTGATGACAAACTCGAAGCCAGATCACAGGACCCGTGTGCGCTAGAGCGTTTCTTTCTTGCACCAGTTGCCCCCGGGTGAGGCTCAGTCCTGGAAAAGTTTGGGAAAGGCTCAAGCTCCTCAGCCCCCCCGTAGTTGACGCCTATAGGCAGAACTCTTGAATAAAGGAGGTAAAAAGTTTTTTTGTTTTTTTCCCTAATGAATCTGGGAATTTAGAGGAGCTAGTAGATTATAAAAAATCTGATGCCACAATGTAATAACACTATAGCAATCTGTGTGTGTGCTTGTGTGTAAAGTGCTGTCGAGTCACACTGATTTATGGGAACCCCAGCAAGGGGCTTTCAAGGCAAGTTGAGAAGCAGAGGTGGTTTTGCCATTGCCTTTCTCAGCAGAGTCTTCCTTCCAATCACTGCCTCTGCTTAGTTTCCAGGATCTGACAAGATCGGACTATACCATGCTGCCATCCCTCCCTATAGCAATTCAGTAGCCATCAATTTCTTAAAAGTCCAAAGATAGTACTCTAATGATACTGGTGAATAATGGGAGGCAAAGAAAGTGCAGGGGAAACTGTCATGTGGATATTCTGTTGTCATAACAAGAGCTGCTTAGCAAAGCATTGCCATGTGGAAGCAGCTGTAGTCCCTTTGGGAAATTTGTTCCTTGTCAATAATAGTACAGAAAATAAACAGTGCTGCTGTTTGGGCATGCTCTCATTAACACTCATGTTAGTTGTGACATTTAAAGCTATCATTGGCCCCGGTCACATTGGGGGAAAAGGTGCGACTGAAGTGCGGCTTTTTTGAGCCGCATCAAAAGAGAAGCGCAGCAGCGGGATCAGACAGATCCCCCGAGCCGCCGTGCAGTTGCTCCCTGGCATGATCAGATGCTGGGGGGAAGCCACAGATGGGTGAGCGAGGTGAGCCCGCTGCGCATGTGTGTGCCTGTGCAGTTTGGCAGGGGGCCTTGCATGCTGCAGGAGACGGGCGCGCCGGCGATCCCACGGCCTCCCCTGCTGTGGATTTTCTGGTAAGTAGTGGTGTTTTTGTAGGGTTTTTTTTAATCTGCATCTTCGGCCAGAAGAGACGGATCGGGGACGGGTGCGCGCCGCTTCCCAGATGTTGCGGTGTGATCACACCCGCTTGATGCGCCCCCTAGAGCGTTTCTTTCTTGCACCAGTTGCCCCCGGGTGAGGCTCAGCATATCCTGTCCCTCTCGTGGATCAAAGCCTCCCGTGTGACCGGGGCCATTTTTGTATTTTGATTAAAACCCATTAAAATGTTCAATGTCAAGGTTCTTAAAAAAATTTCCATAGTGTGTACGTAAGTAATGTGAATTTGTTAAATAACAAGAAAAGTAGCTATAGGTTTAATGTTTTAATTTGCTCTCTCCCTGTTCTTTAAATCTCTGTCCTAAGGATGGTCATCAGGGGAGTAACCAAAGGAGAACTTGTAAGTCTGAAGGCAGAAGATGGAAGAAGCATCAGCTCAGATGCAGATCTCCAGAGTATACATAGTGCTGACAGGTAAGAGGAAAGGTATATCTTGTTTACTATGGATTTTGCTTTCCTCAGATTGCTTCAGAACCTGAAGCAAATACTGCCATCCTTCAACGTGGCTTTATATTGAAGTTAATCTGGTTTAAAGTGCTTGGGTATCTATGTTCTCTTGTGCTTTTCTTGTCTGGACTTGTGATAAGAGTGTAAAATAAGAAATGTCATGACTCAAGCTTGCCTGGACACAGATCCACTCTGTAGAAACCTAGAGATTTGATTTATTGTAATGTTTGCTACATAGAGTTGCCCTTGAAGCCTACTGATAAACTGTAATATGGGTGTTTTAATATTTCTCTTCTTAATGATGAGACTTTTAAAAATCACATGATGGCTGACTTATCAGAATATTTTAATATGAATTAAGGAACAACTACTACTCATACTATTGAATGGGATGCTTGTAAAGCTTTTATTAGAGGGAGAATCATTATATACTAGGAATAAGGCTCGTTGTGGAAATAAATACAACGAGTTCGAGAAAGAGGGACTGGGTGGATGCCCTGGCCTTAGGCACTCAGCACTGTGGCGACTTCAGCAAGGTATAATGACACAGAGTCTCCAGGGGAACTGATCTCTGCCATCCGGAGAGCAAGTGTAATTCTGAGTGATCTCCAGCCCTCACCTGGAGATTGGCAACAATGGTTCCCCAAGAGAAGTACAGTGGGAACCAAAGCAGCTTACATCATTCTCCTCTCCCCCTTTGATCTGCACAACAACCCTGTGAGGGAGGTTTGGCTGAAAGTCTGTGACTGGTCCAAAATCACCCACTCAGCTTCTACAGAAAGAACCTAGAGAAAATAACTGCTTTGGAGGGTGGACTCTATGGCATTCTATTCAGCTGAGGCCTCTCCCCTCCCCAAACTCTGGCTTCTGTAGACTCCACCACAAAAACTCCATGAATTTCCCAACCTGGAGCTGGCAACCCTAGTCAGGACAGGCCCCAATGAGTTCACCACAAAGGCCTGGAAAGGGCCTCCTGGCTTTGCCTTTTTACTGACAGAACCAAGCTTGGTTGCCTAGCAACAGCCACTGAGGGGAAAGTGAGCTGCACAGCAGTTTTTTTTTTTTTAAGTACCCATAGGTACACTTTTATTAATTTTTCTTTTATAATCTACAACAAACAAATCTACACACTACAAACAGACACTCTACTACACATAACATGTATACCAAGAGTACAGTTACATTATATGCTTATATCCAATTACTTAATTAATAAAAATGCTCTATCAGACACTTTCCATTCTTCTGTCTTCTGTGTTCTCAAGTCCACGCTTCTCATAAGAGAAAGCTTAGAGAAATGAAATAAATAACTTTGAACAATAGATTGAAATATCTTTTAAGCCAGTTTGAGATATCTCCCACTCCAGATCTTTATCAGGAATTGCAAAATGTTAAATATTAACTAAATAAAATAACTACCAGTGAAAATATACTATCACTAAAAGCAGAATATGCTTTAACTTGTTTGTACCAATCATATTCCAAAAGTAGTGAGAGACCAAGTAAAATTTTAGCATATCATTTAACACAGCAGAAGAATAAGAAGTATATTCCTTTGATCAGAAAGCAGAATATGCTTTAACTTATTTGTACCAATAATATTCCAAAAGTAGTGAGAGACCAAATAAAATTTTAGCATATCATTTAACACAGAAGAAGAATAAGAAGTATATTCCTTTGATCAAGAATTTATTGGAAAAGATTTGGAAATCTCCCAGCTCTCCGTTGATCCAGGTTGTGTATTTAAACTGGGGGTATGTATCAGAGAGAGGTAGAAGTGGGCCTGTTAGATTCTGCCTAAAATAATTAAGTGACAGGCATGGTGGCAGTTATCTGTTGAGACTGTGAGGCTATTGCGGCATGGCAAGCAATGGCCAAACAGCTTCAGGTAGACTGTGAAAAATAAGGTCCTTCATCTCTCGCTTGCCTCTGCGCTTCCCCCCTGAACCAAAGTTAGATTCAGCAAAGGCTTTAATTCTCCCTGCAACCAAAGCTGGCTCCAGGTTTTTTTCCACACTAGGCGAAGCTACCTTCTGGCACCACCCCCAGTGTGCCCACCAATTTTCTCCCCCCCCGGTGTGCCCCCCGCCCCAGCATGACAGCCCCAAGGAATAAGAAGAAGGAAGAAGGGAATGGGCACCACCGGGGGTGGCCTCAGCCCGGCTGCTTGCTTGCTTTCCTCCTGGGAAGGGCACCCCCCCAAGCCTCCCCTTCCAGCAGCGGGGGGCAGCTGTCACAGTTGACCAGGATGATGGCCAGCATGTAGTCCTTGCCCAGCATGGTCTCGGTGGGCGAGTGCGCAGCAGCCAGAGAGCGAGGGCAGCAGCAGGGAGGTTCTGTTGCCCAAGGCTAGCGCTGGAGTGCAGAGTGGGGCAGAGCCATGCGGGAAGGAGGGCAGAGCCTGGCAGGGGGCATGCTGGAGGCCGGAGCAGCGTGGAGTCCCCGAAGGAGCACGCTTGGAAGCCGGTCTCCACCGCTGCCACGCGGGGTTGCAACAGCATTGCCTACCCTGTTTAGGCAAGGGAGGGGCAGGTCAGCGGGGCACCCCCTCTTAAGGGGCCACTCTAGGCCACTGCGTAAAAATTCTCTATGACGGGCCGGCCCTGGCTGCAACTTTTGTTCAACACTTTCTTCTAGCCTTGTTTGTAAAGTAACTTCAGTTTCTCAGTTAATTTAGTTATTTCCTGTTCAGTTGGAGCAGCCATGTCATTCCTGAATTGATATTTAACTATCAATTCTTCAATTGTTGCTTTTCTCTTTGAAACAAAAGGAATTGGTTGTTAATCTTTTTCTTTTAGTTTTCATGACTGTAATTTCATAATTACAGCATTAAAATGGTTAATGAACATTTGGTTTGGCTGCAAAGGGAAGAACAGTAAGTAATGCTTATTTCCTCTGAGAAAGAAGAAATAATTAAGGATTGATTCAGGAATGCTGCAGCTATTGATTGAACAGGAGATAACTAGGCAGAAAAGCAGAAGTTGATTTACAACAACAACAAGAAGGAGGGAAGGAGAACATTTAAAGGGATGGTAAAGCCTAAGTAGGAGTATTTTAATCCACATTGGACAGGCTAGTACTGCAATTGTATTTTAAGTACATTTCTCACTCCTACCTACAAAATCAAGCCTAAAAAAATTAGGGGAAAAACCCTGGAATGCAGCAGATTGGCAGCATTGCTTAGATGCTCCATAAAACAGAGTGAATGAATTGTAGCTTTAAATGACTGGGATGGAAGCAGTGCTGCTACAGGTGCAGAAAAGGAATCTTTTTGCTTTTCACTTTTCAGTCTTTTTTTCTGGTAGGAGGACTCAAAAATCGGACAATAGTGTTAGGAACTGGGCAATTTTGTTGCCTAGCAATAGTGCTCCATGCATTGGCAAACAGATTTAATAGTCATCGTTAATGTTTCCTCCTTGTATTGCATAGTTTCTGAAACACATAAAAGGCTTTTAGAACTAAGAACTGATTCTGAACTGTTTTGAGCTTAATATAGAAACTTATAAACAAGGGTTCACAAAGAGGAGGAAGAAAATATGAAGCTTCTCCAGATTTGCCAGAAAGTAATTTCTGTGAGACATCAGTATTATTGATTGATGCTAGGAGTACAGCTAGAGATGTGGTCTTAGCCTCCCTGGCTTTCCTTTGGGGGTTGCCTAGTCCTTGTAGTCCTAGTTACAACTGTAGAGTTGGGACTCCTGGTGTGTGTCCATATTTGGAGTCCTAAAGCAGAGTACATGTAAGGGTTCTCAGAATTTATTTGTTTACTTCATTTGTAGCTTGCCTGCCTCATTGAGACTCAAGGTGGATTGCAGTCAGATGGCATTATACATCCAATCAACAATGCAAGCCGAAAACTCTGTAATGCATGATGTGCCCTAACCAATGTAGAGCGTGGATTACAAAGGTAGAAGACAGTGCAATAAGAGCTAGAAGTGCTAGCAGTATGCCATACAGACTTTTTTGTGTGCCCTGGCTCTTTGTGCAGTGATACACCGATCAAGCTCCTGCTTGTGTGTTCCTAGCTCTACATACATGGGTATGACATGATATAGCTACATATCTTAGTTAAGGTCCCATTCACACATTACTAAGATGGGTTATAGAGTTCTGTGCCACCCAGGTACACAGGTGTCCAGTTCAGACTGGGAACACTGTGTGTGTGTGTGGGGGGAGAATGTGTGTAGGCCTCCCCCATGCACCCATGGATAGTTTTTCTGATCCGTATTCCAACTGGTGTTCCCTGATTGGCTGCAGTATTAGTTTAAATTCCTTTTTCCATTGTAATTATCAGCATGCAGAAGATAGGGCAGTTTTTTGGAGTTGTCTGTTTACATTAGTTGGAGTGTTTTAATTTACATCACCTATTTTGCAGAGGTTTCAGAGGTTGGGGGCCTTAATGAGCATAGCTCTATTCTTCCTTTACCCTTTTGCTTCTTGCGTAAGTGGAGTCTTGCCATTGTAGGGGTTCCATTGATGGCAGTTCCATTGATGCCCAGTGCTGAGGGGCAATAAGAATTCTGTTTCACTTAGTGGGTATGTCGGGGTTTCTATAACTGCATTTGTCAGATTGGATTGGATGTGGGGGTTCCTGAGTAGGAATGAGAATATTTCAACTAAACTTTAATCAGAGCTGCCAGCCTTTTAGGAAAGGTTTCTTCATTTCCAGAGAATCAGTTTGTGGTATGACAGGATGAACCAAGCAAAGATGTAATTCAGATATCATTTTTACTATGAATGGAACTTCCAGTAATCCAGAAAAATTGCTTAGATGGGGAAGTGATGTGTTTTTAGTAAAACTGTCAGTTAAGTTTATTTTAAAAGATCTTTCCATTGTCTTTATATTATGTTTCTTGAGACAAACGAGAAATCAAATACTGCAGTGCCAAATTTTGAAGATTTACTGCCAGATTTTGAAAAGCTGGCCTTTTCAAATCTTTAACAATTTACTTTACTGAATGGGCACCATGGGCAAAACGCTGTATCTTGAAATGTCACAAGAAATCAGATATTAGAAGGCAGCTCTGACCAGAAATCATCAGCTTGAGCTAAACTCAACAGATTGGAACGTTGTTTCTCTAGGGGGAAAGGCAGACAGATGGAGGACTGAACAGCACTGTGAGGTCTCAGATGTTTTGGGAAATGGTAATTGGTCTGCAATTGGTCTGCAAGCAGTCTCACAATGATCATGCCACTGCCTATGATCATGCCACTGCATTTAACATAAATGCCATAGTGTTGCATAACGGCATGTAATGGAAATTGTGTGCATCAGCTATAACGAACAGTGATGTATATAAGGGTAGAACGACACATTGTTTGTTTGGTTAGTAAATTTCTCTGCTATCTTTCTGTGGAAACACTGAACTTAGAACACAGAAGTACAACAGCACTGAATAAAACAACTGCAGTCTCGGGAGGACAGTTCTCAAAGGCCTTCTGGAACAGATAAGCTGACACTGGAAGACCTGTACGGATGGGCCTACGCAAAGTTTCTAGAGAGGAGAATATCACAGACAGTCTAGGGGTGGCTGATGAGAAGGCTCTTCCTAGATATATCTGTGCAAGTCCACATTCCTGTAACAAAGCCCCCTCAGATGATTTCAGAGTATGGGCAAGAATCTGTGGGTGGAAGGTTGATGGCTTTAAATGCCTTACACCCTAGAATTTATGTCAAGGTTTAAATAATTGGATCTGTACTCTGTATATGCTCAGAGAGTGCCAGTTGCCTTTTACAGGCTAACAGGTACACAAGGGAAAAGCAGGGTGGATACTGGCTGCATGTTTCAGCCGTAGGGGTGGGGGCTGTGAGTGGATGGCTGCTCTCTAGATCCAGATGCAGAGTCGAATAATACACCCCTGTCACTGGGTGTGCTCTGCGCTTATCTTCTTCCACCCTAGCTAGTGGCCACCAGGTCTAACGACTTCTCAGGGCTTCAAGCCACCACATCTGCATGCGTCTCAGGGCTTGGATCTACCATGTCTACCTATGTCATTGCACACTGGTTTTGGTTTGGGACTCAGGTGGTCTCAGGGCACATCACCCTGGTTCTGCTGGGCTGGCAAAAATGTCTCCCACCTTCACTTTCTACTGGAGAGATTCTCGGGGACTTTGATTCTGTTTCTGTTCTGCTGGGCTTCTGACCTTGCTTTTTTTGCTGTTTCCCCCTCTCCATTGGAGACAATGGCATATGGGGCACCTTCTTTGGGGGTATAACTTGGATCCCATAAATCCAGTACCCATCAAATGTGGAGGGCAGGTAGAGGTGAGTCAACCAGACATCTCCTGTGAGTTTGGTGTCTCTAGCACACTGGGAGGCTATTCTACCACATCACAAACTTCATGAACTTGTTCAGTTTGTGCAATGGTCTGCGGTTTGGTTTGTGGGTATACCACGGACCATGAACCTGAACTGCTTTTTCTCCATTCATGCCCATTCCTACTGGCAACCTTAGGGGGAGGGAAATTTAAACTTTTCCCCTTGCATCTTTTGCCCATCCTCAGACATGTCCCCTGCATCTGCTGTTTGTCTTGCTGAGGAAAACAGCAGCTCTCGGAGTGGCTGTGAGCCTGGGGGGGGGGTCCAGAGGAAGTCCTCGTGCTGTACTCCCAACCTGAACTGTGGCTCCCCATCGCTGCTCTTTACCAATAAAAACGCTTTAGAGATCCATTCGTTTACATATCTCTCAGCATCTCATTTAGTTAGGCTCAAAGTTGTGTACTTTGTTATTTTTTCATGCTGGAATAGCTGAACTAAGAGGATGTATTTTTGGTATGTTTGGTAGGGAGAGTACCTATTCACTGGCCATGGAGGACATACCTGGTTGTCTGAAAGGGCCTGTTGGTTCACTAAACCGAAGCAATGCCTCTACTCCAGTCCACCCCAGATCACCAGCTCTGAGCACACGCAGCATGACTGAAGATTACAGGAGGGTGAGTCCACTGTTGATCAAAGGTTTGTCTTTACACTTAATTGGTACCAAGGAGGTTATTTTTTTTTAATGCTCCCAGTTCTCACAAAGTAAACCTTATGATCTGACTCTGCTGGGGGGAGAGGGGTTCTCATGACTCAATGTTCCTACCCAGGAAAGTGACTTGCTCAAGGCCTAGGTTCCCAATACTACCTAGGCAAATATTGGGAGATGGGGGTGGTGGTGGAGAGGGGGATTAGGATATATGTGATGCCACTTCTGGGAGAAACTAGGAATTTTCTGTAATTTCTGTGGCTTTGCTATGGAGGCCACTTTTTCTCCTCAATTTCTCCAGGTCGGGAGATATGGGCTGGGGCAGGGAGTCCCCACCAGGTCCATGCAATTGAGAACCTTACCAAGGACACACAGTGAGCTTTATGGATCAGCAGGGATCAGTACTCTTTGTTTAAGTCCAACCTAATTGGTTCTGGTTAATGAAGACCAGAAGTCTTCACTTGGAAGGGGAGGCTGGAATTTTTTGGTGTAATCATAGTTGTGTTTTTAGTCAGCCCATGCTGATTTTTAGCTGTTCAGCCATGAGCTTGCTGTAAGGTTAGATATGCCAGTTCCACCTGAGAATACAAAAAAATCACAAAGCCAGAATATGAGTTACTTGCACTTTCTGCCACACAACCATTCATTAACATTGGAAACCATTCTTCTTGCATTCATTCTATGAACAGTGAAGTAGGTCTCTGTTCTCACTTACCACAAGGAAAAATAGTATTTGGAAAGGGTAATTTGCCCAGCCTTATCCAGTTGATCAAAATACATTCTACTGTAGGTTTATTATGAATACGTTTTGAAAATTATTCTAAATAAGAGGCTGACTAGCTTTATACTGAGAATCTTTCTGTGAATTTTGTTGAGTATCAGTTAGCTGATTCTTTTTTTCTTCTGTCCCTCAGGGTCAGACTAAATACAATAGTGATAGCTCTCTGTGATTAAACATGGGACTGACTTCTTCAGTCCCATAGAAGGATGTGTGTGCATGAGTCTTATTTGGAAAGCAAAGAAAGCATGTGGGGGAGGAGAGCTGGAAACTCACTTGCATGCTCTTTCTGCTTGTAAAATCAGATTCCCCTGCACCTCTCTTTCTATATGGGGGAGGAAGTTCTGTGGCTTACTTGCTTTTCAGAATTTTCTGGGAGATCTGTTGAGTTCTCTGAGTACAATCGACATTTGCAGGAAGGCTTTGGTGGTACCCTGACCCAGCAGTTCCCAACCTGTTTGATATGGTGACCCACAAGTCCAAATTTACTTGGTATGGAGATCCATCTGGGGCTGGCCTGAAGTTTTTTGGCACGCTAGGCAAACTATGATTTTGGCACCCATCTGGTTCAGCGTTTCTAAGCAGATGTTTTTTTGGAAACCGACAAACATTGCACAAAGGGCACAGCTACTTTCAGTATGAACCCCAAGCAAGTGGTGTCCCATCGTGCACAGCCTTTGCATATGGAGGTTGCATTCCAGCCTTTGACCACCCTCTCCTTCTCCATTACTCCCTCTAATCCCCCCTAAGACTCTCACTCACTCTAGTGACCATCAGGACATGTTTTACTTAATCAACACATACATACAGTGAAGAAAAAATACCAGCTAATGTATGACATGGAAGATACTGTTTCCAGAGTCAGATCTTGGTTTCCAAGATACAAAAGAGAGGACTCAGGGCAGGGGCAGCCATTATGTAGGGCAGATCTGCGAGTCCACAACCCACTTGCAAAAGCTTCGCAACCCAGTTTTGGGCACTGACCCACAGGTTGGGGAACACTGCCCTAACCCATACCTGATGATTAGGAAATTTCGTTGGCATCAAAGATCAGCACAGTGAAGCAGCTACTTAGGTCTGCAGCTCAACAGAAGACCCATTGTCAGCTCTTGATTGGATTCTTGCTCTCAGCAAGAAATGGGAAGATATCACAAAGCCTCTGAGGCAATTTCCTGTTTCCTTTGGGAGCATCTCCTGGAAAGGCAGCAGAGTATGGGTCTTTTGTGCTCCTTGTAGCCCAGCCAGCACTGGTGGGACTTAGGGACAGACTTACGGGATTGTAAAAGATTAATGCTTCACTGCCTCCCAGCAGCTGCACTGGTGGGACTTAGGGACAGACTTACAAGATTAATGCTTCACTGCCTCCCAGCAGCTAAAGGTAAAGGATCACGACTCACACATTCTCCTCTAAGCTCTGTGGTGCTTTGATGGCTAGCAGGGGCCCTTCTCCACTTTTGCCTGCTGGAAGGTAGGTGTGCATATGTTCGTATAGGAGGGGGCAGCCCACTAGAGCACATCTTGTCCAAATTCTCCCCAAATCTGCAGCTGGCTCTTTTAGGACATTATGGAGACCCAGCTTGTCAGTCATCAAACCTAATTTTGATTCTGGTTTTCAGAAAGGGAATGTTGTTGTGAATTGATGTACTTGTTAGCTGAGATGATAAAGGCTTAAGAAAAATCAGGCACATTGAAAAAACATTTTTGCAAGTGGCATTTTTTTCTGTACACAAACCCTGCAGACTTCACACAGATGCTCTTATTTAACTCTGCTTAGACTTGATACAGCAATTACTGATATTATGTCTACTTCAAAGTGTTATTTCTTAAGTTTCTTTTTTGCCATTTCATTGCAGGATGTACTTCTGTTTCTGGGGTATAGCAGTTATTTGCATACGAGGGAATGTTAGCTAACTCAGACACAGCAGGTTGTTTTTTGTTTTGTTGTTTTAACCAGAATTATGGAGTGATATGCTAAGGTTCTTTATAGCTACAGAGGAAACAAACAGATGGAAGGTGGGAGAAGTTTGCATTATTAGCATAAAGTTGAGCATGGCATTACCAACAAACAGAGTTATTGTAGCAGAGCTTTAATAAGCTAAAGAATGTAGCTTTTTCATATCAATACTTTAATCATGTGGTACATGAAATACATTTTTCTGTTCTCCTTGGGCAGGATCTTGGATTAGAAAATGGCATCGCTATGTCTGCAACTGAAAGTATACCTGTAGATTTAGCCAAAAGACATCATAGGAGAGGCTCTGGAACTCCCTCTATAGCAGTGTCTAGGACTTCCCTATCATCTGGTAAGCTCTTTTTTTAAACAGAAGACTATAAATTCATCCTAGTGACCACTTTCTCCAGCCAGCTTTTCACTTTCCTCTTTTTAATTTTGTGGAATTATGTTTTTTCTTGTTTGTTAGAAGCTAGTGTAGCACAAGGATTAACATGCTTGTCATTGTCAATATTTTTTTTAAAAAAAGATGAATTTACATAGTACTTGTTAGTATCTTGCAAGCTGTACCTTTTGCCAGTATGCCATTGCTTCAATATCAAGATTGGGTTCTTGGGGCATCCAGTTACATGGTTAATTTATGCCTATAAATATAGGGTGCAAAAAATGACTGTATTGTGCAGCCTTTTTATTTTAATGCTAGCATAAGTTTTGAAAAAAGTTAGAGGATTCAGTATAAATTATCTTCTTTTTTCTGCCTGCTAAGTATGAATGCACCAATAAAATTCTTCCTCTTGCCCACATTCTTTGGTCTTTCCCTTTCTTTGTTTTAGGATTGAGGAGAGGGAGTTGAAAGCTGTGGTGAGGTACAGCTGAAGTTAGTCTGTGTACAACCAGTTGCAAAGGTCTGGAATAAGTGTAATATTGGAAGACAACGTGTTGTGTAGATTTTAAACACTTTCTTTTCTCCCTCCTGTTTTGCAGATCACAGCAGATCAGAGAGAGATCTCAGTGGATCCTTTTCAGAAAGCAATGAGGATACTTTAAGTTTAAGAAGTAAATCTGTGCCTGGAGCATTGGACCAGGAGCTGGTGAGTTACAACCACACCAGTCCCATAAAGTGAGGAGGCCTTTCTTAATATTTGTTTTTCTTCATAAGGGTTGACAGAAACTTGCTTTGAACTGATCCTGACGATTTATTTGTGCCACAGTCCATAAAGTTAGTAAATTTATGGAAGCAGGATAATGAAGTGGCCAATACCAGTCATGGGGAATAAGGACTGAGAGCATAGGGATGCTGTGAATTTCTCAGCAAACCTGTTTGGCACTCACAATCAGGGCTGTGAGCCAGTCAGAGATACATTCCAATTACATTGAGCAACTCAAACAACTACCCAGCAAGTTTGCTGCTGCAGACTCACAGTTGACTGGGGGATCAGCTGGGAGTGGGTTGTGGCTCCACCCCCTCAGCAAAATGGCTACAAAAGGTGCAAAAAAGAGCAGAGAAAGAGCTCCTTTCTCTTCCTTCCCTCCAAGCTGGGTCCGGACAGAAGCAATTCTGATTTCTCCTGATTTCTCATTTTTTCTACAGCCCAAGCCAAAAGTTTGGGGTGGGGAGTAATCATCTGGGCCACTCCTAGTTGGTTATTTCTTGGCATGTCTAGGAGTCTGGAATGTAGCAAAATCTCCAGGATGGTAGACCAGAGTCAACTCCTCATCCTCTCACAAATAAAGCACAATTTCCCCAGCAGGAGATCAGAAGCAGATTCCCATAGAGTTGCCAAGTCCTTACCTGTTCCGGTGCGGGGGAGTCCAGCCTTGCTCTGGGAGGCTTCGCGCATGCGCAAAGCATGCACACGCCACAAGCACGTCACACAGAAGTGACACAAGCACGTCGGCGACGTTGGGGGCGGGGCCACAATCATCCGAGAAAAAACCATAGAGTTTTCCCTCGGATGATTGTGGCCCCTCCCCCAACGTCCCCGACATTCTTGCGTCACTTCTGTGTGACGTGCTTTGGGGGTGGGGTTCCCCCCGGGGGCCCGATCCGGCGGCCTCCTGGGCGGGGGTTTCCCCACCCCCCCCGGGAGGACGTGACATCCCTAGATTCCCAGCTGATCCTTCTTCATCTGGAAGTTGGCAGCTCATGGCTACAAGTAGCCTGTTCCTGAGAATATACATTAAACAGGTTGCGAACAGCTGAATTTCCCGTTGATTTAATAGGTCATCACTGGCAAACAGGAAGTGAGCTGAACTGGCACATGCTCAAGCTTCTCAAAGAGAGAACTGATGAAGTAGGTCATGGGTGCTCAGTATACTCCTGTGGGCTGCATGCAACCCATGGGACTGTGTTCTGTGGCTCATAGTGGCATTCTCCCTCCTCCAGAAACTTCTTGCTCCCAGACGAGAGTCAGCATTCCAACTTCCCCCCCATGCAGTTCGATGTATCTCAGAGGCTTGCATTTCAATTGCAAGCTCCTGGAATGAAAGGGGGGAAATTTTATGTTGCATCACACAGACTTGCAACTGAAATGCAGGCCCCTCAGATGAAGCAGAGAAATTTCTCTTTATTTGGAGGGTTCCAGGAGGACAGCTGAGAATCAGTATTCTGATCTCCGCCTCATCAGTTACAGATTATGATGGAGCTAGATGATTTTTTAGGCATCCCACTTTATTCTAGAGGAAGGCAATGGCAAACCACCTCTGCTTCTTGCTTGCCTTGAAAGTCCTATGGGGAGCCATAAGTTGGCTGTGACTTGGCAGCACTTTACACACACACGCACGCACGGGCACACATGGTTCTAGTTGAGGTCCATATAACTGTGTGAGTTGTGCACTCTTAGTTGAATGTGAGAACCGAGGTATAGGAGGGACAGAAATATTAACTGAAAGTTTTTTGAAATAACGTGGAGAAAGTTTTGGTTGGTGCAGCAGCCAGGATCAAAGAACATGAAGCTAATGGAGAGAGTAACCATTAACTAAGGACATGTGGTGATATATAATTTCTTTGACTAAGTGTGCATGTCTACATCTTTTAAAGATGCAGTCTGTAAGGCTAAGTTTAGATATGCCACTCACTGCAAGATTAAAAATTCTTTATTGTTGTCATGTAAATGTATTGTTCAATGCAGAAGGTCAGGGAACAAAGACAAGGCAAATGCTGCTTGTGCAGTGTTTGCCCCCATAGTCGGAATAAAGGGATTCACACAGGTGTGTTGGTATAAATAAAGGGCAGCTTTATTAAATTTAACTTTAAGTAAATGAACTGTACAGGAGCTGCGGTGGCTCAAGTGGTTAAGACGCTGAACTGCATGCTGTGAAAGGTCAGTAGTTCAGCAATTCGAGACCTGGGTGCCGCATGACGGAGTGCGCTCCCGTCTCTAGTTCCAGCTCCTGCCAACCTAGCAGTTCGAAAGCAAGAAATTGCAAGTCCTCGGTGGGAAGGAAACAGCGTTCCGTGCGCCTTGGTGTTTAGTCATGCCGGCCACATGACCACGGAAACGTCTTCAGACAGCGCTGGCTCTTCGGCTTTGAAACGGAGATGAGCACCGCAACCCTAGAGTCGGATTCGACTGGCTTTCGAGCAAGGGAACCTTTACCTTTACTTTTTTAAATGAACTGTAATTCAGCAAGGGCCAACTAAAAACATAAGCAAAGGCAAAAGGATACACCCTGGTCCCTTTCCTGGCCAGGAATGGGCGAGCCACCAAGCCCCTGGCGCAAGCCAATGATAGCACGGCTGTTGCCAGGCGGCAAGACATGCAAATAACTCCCTGAAAGGAAGCCAGCTACCTCAAGCCACAGAACTTGAGGCCAAATCCAAGGGGCATTGTAGGCCTTTTACATTCGCCCCCAAGACTCCCACAATCAAGGGTGGGGTCTGCTTTCTGGTGCTTACCATCCTAACCAAATCAGCCAGATTCCTGCAAAGGGAAACCTAATTAAAGGCACCATCCCTCAGCTGATTACCCATCCACAGTGTACAGTGTGAGGTAGGTTAAAACACCCCCTCTCCAAGCCAATCTGAGAGAGGGTGAAAAATTCCTACTCGGCCCCAAAATTGGCAAACAGCAAAAGTCCACTGCAGAAGGGGGGGTGGGTGGGTGGGCCAATCGAAATGTGAAGACTGCCCTGTAGAGGGGCAGGCAGAGCAAATTAAACCAAAGGCCCCGCCCCCTGAAAATACCCATATGGACATGAATTGCCCAACCAGTCTTTTGCTCCTTCCATGGAGGCAAAGGAGGCCCTCCATTCTACTGCAACCGCAAAGGTTGCCGCCTGGATACCGTATTCTCTTAGATATGTGAATCATGAGGAGAGTAGCACCCTTCACATACCAAGTATAGAAATTGATTGTTCTGGAGTCGCTCATCTGATCCTCTAAACTGAAGCAAATTGATGTGAATTTAATTTTATTTCCACCTTGCCCATTAGGATTACCTAAATGAGGCAGAAGAAGATATTGATGACATTGTGGCCTCTGGCTACTCAAAGGGACGGACAAATTTAGCCAGTGGACTGTCAATGGTAAGGCTTCCATTCCTTCCAATGAGCTTGTTACTGATTGTGTTCTTAATGTACCATTTCTTTCCTAAGAATATTTGGCCATTACCATATGATATCTACTTCTAATTCCTTTCTGTTCAGTACATTTTATTCTGCTCTATTTCTCTACTGACTGATTTTTCAACTTCCATCTGTACGGCTGTTTATGAGGTGGTTTACATTTGTTACACTCAGTAGTCATTCTCTGCAGCTAAACGGCACTTTCCCCCTTAAACTATTCAAAACCAGGGCACTGGGGTCAGCAGCCCAGGGCCCAGCTGCTGCTATGGTGACGCTGCTGTTGGCCTGTCTGCTGTCTCTGGGGTTGTGGTGGTGATGGCAGCAGCAGCTGGGCCCCCCTTCAACTGCCCTGTAGCAAATTGCAATTCCACCTCTACACCCAGTGATCAGATGCAGACTGGGAGGACATTGGCTAGGACCCTGCCCCCAACACTGGGGGAAAGGAGAAAGAGCAGGCTCCTGTGTGTTTGCTGCGATGGCTGCTCTTGCCTGCCCTGTCTGGGGTATGGGCAGTCAGGCTGCAGTGGTAGAAGCTCCCTCCTGCTTTGCAAGCGGGGGGGGGGGGACACTCTTTGCTTGGAGCCAAGGGCACCCTGATGAGGGGAGGAACAGCAGTAAGAATGAAAGCTAGGAATTCACAGAACCTGACACATACATTGTTATAGCGTTGTAATGCATTCCATATGTATATAATTACATTCAATTGCAAGTTTTTTTTTAAAGCCCTCTAGTGGTGGGGGGTGGATAGCTGCTCGCAGGGAACTGGAAAAATGGTGCCAATGTGGGGTGGAGATCTAGGCATGCTGTCCATGTGGGCACAGTCCTATCTTTGCTGTGATCTCTCACAAAACATTGATGCAAAGCAGGTTTGGGAAAGATGGAGAAAATCTGGAAGGTGCACCAGAGCATGAAAAAAAAATCCCAATAGCATCTAAGCCAGGACAAACCATGTGTAAGTGACCTGAGACAATTGCGTGTATCTCAGAGGACTAGAATGTACTAGAGATCCTTTGCAAGTAGTTATCCGGCACAGTGAAAGTAACTTAAATTTCATACTATCACTGTCTCTCTTGGGGGGCTCAAGGCTTCAGCCGCTTTCTTACTGGCTTACTTTGACCCCTGCAGGCAATCATAGCTTCTCCGATTTTATTTCCTTAATAGTTGCTTTGCTGATGAAAAGTGCGGACTTTAAAGATACCTCCGCTACATTTTGTGAATTATGTGTGCACCGGCACAGAACAATAACACAGTATGACTGCTGAGTAATGGGCTTATGCAATTTTTTTTAAGGATGTGGATAACTAAATAATGTTCTAAGCCTCTACACTGTGTCTTTTATGCTATAAGGGAAATTTGCAAGTAAATTGAAGGGTCATTTAAAAATAGTTTTCTGCCAACACTAGGAAGAACATGGTAGTACTCATTCAAACCTAGTATATGATCCTGTAGGATATTTTTCAGTTTAGAAACTTGAATATTTTTTTGGGAGGGATGTATCGTGTCAAAATGTCACTACTGCCATTTGAGAGTGGTAAGTGTAGTATGGCTGCGGTCACACGCAACATTAGCCACGCAAGAGATACGGAAGACAAGCGGAGTTTCCGGTCGCGATCTCACCAGCACATCTGGGAAGCGTAGCGCTTCCGTGGCACAACTGAGGCTTCCTGCCGAAAAAGCGCAGCAAAAAACTAGTACCTCCAAGAAACTGCGGGGCAAGGGCGGGTGTCTGATCGCGTTTCCGGTGGCATCCGGCGCCCGCCCATGTCCCCTTGCGGAAAAGGTTTTTTTTTCCCCCCAAGACTCCGTGGATGCGCACACGCACCCAACGGAGCATGCGCATTCGTAGTGTACACAAAAAAAGAAAACCAGTTCGCCGCGCCGTGCGCTTCTTCATTGCGCGCAGGCGTGTGTTGTGATCAGCACCTCTCCCTACCCACGGAAGCTCCACAGTACCTCCACAGAACCTCCACGGTAGGTCTGATCGCTTTACTGCATGTTAGTTTGCCCCGGGGCAAACAGCCACACTTCTCTTCTGCAGTTTCCTGCCCGTGTGGCAGGGGCCTATGTATCCCAACTTTGGTTCAGCCTGGCTGTGTCACTCAGGTCCACATCTATTAGGCAGCATCTGGGTTTGATGCAGCTAGGTTAAAGTGATGGCAAAGAAAATTTTCAACAACTTCATCAGTCAAGGAGGCTACAATAGTTTTTGTCAAGTTCAGCTTCTTGGGTTCATTTCATGTGTTCATAGCTAAGAAATTGTAGCTCACTGTGTAGTTCCCTTTTGATCACTTTGAAGCTTCTTCAGCTAGTATAGCCCGTGGCAGGTCTATCTTCTGATAAGCAGGAGAGACCTTCTACATTGGCTCTCTGATATCTTCTGGTCATCTTTTAGAAGGCTAGTTTTGACACACCCTGGCTTACATACTACTTAAAATGTAAATCTGGGATTTTATCCACTGTGAAGGGAAAGTCATAACCAGGTGGGTGTTCTGCTGGCCATGAGTAAAAATAAAGAGACATCAAAAATATGCACCTATGATGATTTTTAAGATAAATGTCCAAACAGATGAATGCATATATCAAACCTAATAAAGCTAGAATGATCACCTCACTTGGTTAGCATATTATGCTGATTAAAACTGGCAAATAACAAAAGGTCAGTAGTGGCAACTATAGTAGCACTTAGTGAAACCTCTACCTTTATGCAGTTTTGGGAAAGTTGATTCAAATACATTAATTGCTGTCTGTTAGTAACTAGGTGCCACAGGCTTCTCCTTCATTAGCAGTCATCCTCAGCTGAATGCTCCACTAGCTCTGCAAGAGGAAAATATGGACGGCTTCCAAACTTAATATCCAGTCTATTTATATAGGTGAAAAATGCTTGCTTGCTGATGTGCCAGTGACCAGTTCTGTACATAATGGTTTCTTATCATATTACTCATATCTTTGTGTGTTTCTTTATCTGTTTTGTTTACGAAGGTATTTCCTCACATTTCTGAATTTCTCTGGCAGCTACTTAATGCCTTTCTTTCCATTCCTCCTTCCCTTTCTCTTCTTAAAGAATTCTCCTTCAAGTTCTGACAGGAAATGGAGCTACTTAAATGTTCCAGAAGCAGATGGTGATACTGTAAGTTCTCTTCCTGTTCTGATACATTTGGGGGCTTCCCTTTTTGATCTCTCATTCTTTCTTTTCTGTTCCCTGTACATAGAATATATATATGCTGATTCCCACAATTTATTGAAATATAAAAGTAGCAATTCGTTTTTAAACATTGTCCTTGAAATGTGTATTTGCCACTAAAGTCATGGGAGTAACCAGTCCTCACTGTGAGGTGGTTCAGAAAGTATTAGACAGTGGTATGGTTCAAGTGGTTAAGATGCTGATCCTCAGACCTGAAGGTAGGTAGTTCAGCAGTTCGAGACCTGAGTGCTGCATGACGGAGTGAGCTCCCGTCTCTGGCTCCAGCTCCTGCCAACTTAGCAGTTTGAAAGCAAGAAATTGCAAGTAGATAAATAGGTACCACTTCGGTGGGAAGGTAACAGCGTTCCGTGTGCCTCAGCGTTTAGTCATGCCGGCCACATGACCACAGAAATGTCTTTGGACAACGCTGGCTCTTCAGCTTGGAAATGGAGATGAGGATCGGATTCAACTGGCTTTCGAGCAAGGGAAACCTTTACCATTACCTATGGCACTGAACTTAAAGCACCTTAAACCTTTGAAGAGCACCAGATTCTTAAGCTATTCATACATGTTGAAGAAAGCAAATTAATTTTTTTTTTAAAATTCAGAATGACCTATGAATACCAGACATTATAATGGGATATATATTTACAATATATTTCCTAGTGTAATGTAAAAGCTGGTCTGACATAAGTGATACCCACAGATGTATAGCTTCTTTTCTTTTTCTTGTTTTAATCCCCCGAGGGGGAGTGTTTTATTGGGTTTTTTCAAAATACTACAAACTATAGCTTATTTTCTAAGGCAAAAAAAAAATAACACAGACCAGTATTTTTTGGGGGGGGAATAATATGCACGGGGCATCAATAATTACCTTAAAATGGGGGAATTTCTCCATGGGTTTTTTAATTCTGCCCATAACTAAAGGGGGCACTTATCTCACATTAATTGGTTGCATTAAAATGTGCAAGTGGGAGAAAACTGGCTTTCAGCCACCTGATCTACTCCAGTATTAATTAAAAACAAATTCTGGTTCTAGAGTACTTGGAAATGAGTACTCTCGGCAGACTGATTCAGCTGTTTGCTGATTGCTCCATATAGAGCTGCTTGAGTGGCCCGAGGCATGAACCAATTTGGAGGAAGTAACGGCTAACCCAGCACTTTCAAATTAGAACTGTCACTTCCAGTAGTGATTTACTCAAATATATTAGTACAGCAATTCCCAAATGCTAGCAACCTGAAGGTCACCATTTTGATTTTAAAAATTTGATGGCTCCCGGAGTCCTGCATAGGGCTGCCAGGTCCCCTCCTTGCTCCAGTGGGGGGATTGGGGGGTGTTCTGGGGGTGGGCAGGGATGTCCAGGCCCTGCCCTGCCCTCAAGACCCACCCCCAAGCACAACCACCCGCCTGGCCACCCCTCTCCCTCTCCTCCTGCCAGATTTAAAGGGCTTCAACTGATTGGCATGAACCATATGGCCCACTGGTCAGCTGGAGGGCCCTTTAAATCTAGCAAGAGGGAGGGAGAGGGGTGTTCATGGGCCTCATGCTTTAAAGGGTCTTTTTGCGAGCAGGTTGGGGGGCGCGGCATGTGAGGCTGGGTGTCGGGTCTTCTTTAAACCTGAGCATGCAGCCTGCAACCTCCCCTCTCCCTCCCTCCTGCTAGATTTAAAGGCCCCTCCAGCTGATCAGCAGGCCACGTGGTCCCCAACGATCAGCTTGAAAACCTTTAAATCTGACAGGAGGGGAGGGAGAGGGGTGGTTGGGTGGGTGGTCACCAGTGTTCCCTCTAAGCTGAGTTAGTGTGAGCTAGCTCACAGTTTTCTAGCCTCCGGCTCACACATTTTTGTCCTAGCTCAGGAAGAACAGCTCCAGAGCAAACTAATTTATACGGTTGCCAAATCGCTCCCTCACAGTTTTAATGCCAGCAGCTCACAAAGTAGAATTTTTGCTCACAAGACTCCACAGCTTAGAGGGAACATTGGTGGTCACTCTTGGGGACGGGGCTTGGGGTGGGGCTTCCCCTGCTGGCCAGCTGGCTGGGAGCGGATTGGAGCCCCTAAAAGTGGGGTAAGCCCCACCCGGACCTAGGGGCTGGCAACCCTAGCCCTGTACTTCCTTGCTGGCATTCACTGAACAGCCCCCTTTCAAAGTGCTTGTGGAAAGCTGCACATATCATATAGAGGCTTTTATATTCTTACATCCTTAAAATAATACAGTAAAAACTGTCAGCTATATTTTAAAAACAAATGTAAATAAACTGTATTGTCTGTACATGGCCTACGTTCAAGGTCAGGTCTCAAAGGGTAGCTGAGTCCAGAGGAACACAACTCAAAAGGCCCTGACTGATGTCCTGATCAACCTTACCCCAATCAGAAAAAGACTTTACCCTGCAGATAGCAAGATTCTTCCATATTGGTTCATAACCTTGAGCTAGAAGCCAGTTGAACAGGAGTGGGGAGTAACTTGGAGAAACTTTTAAAGCTTATACAAATAGAAAAAGAGCAGCATTCCACTTAAATTTCAACTGACGGTTGTCTGTGGGCGTAGAAGTCATCCCCCCCCCCAATATTTCACGCTGGAAAATAGAGTGAATGCCAGTTCAATTTTATACAGGGAGTAACTATTATGCTTGCTTCATAACTGTGCCTCCTTGGTGCCACTCGACTGATTAGAATTCCTAGAATTGAAGTGTTGTTCCCAGCAATCAATCATTGTGTTTCTGGTTAGTACTCTGAGGTGATCTGGAGGTTACTGGTAGCTGTGTGAGCTCTTGCCCTTTGAAAGATGAGAAAGCCAATTCTGTCCTCTTTCCAAGGCAGAGTCCCCTCCACCATTCCAAGAAAAATGGAGGGTTTTGTCTTTATCTTAACCAGGGTTTATCCTCTGTCCTTACAAAGAACCTCAAGTCTAGAGTACCCTATGGACCCTCAGGTGTCCATGAACACCAGTTTTAAAAACACTGTGGCCCCGGTCACACAGGCCAGATATTGCGGGGGGGAGGCATGGCTAATTGCCCCGGCGCAGTTTGATGCACGATTACGCGATCAGACACGCCGGCGACACACCACGGGTCCTTCCCTTGGCGCCGGCGGGTAAACGAGGGACTGGAGGGGAATGCTGTGTGCTGGTGCGATCACACCACAGGTGTCTGGAGGCAGCCCGTGGCAAACGTTTACTAGTACCTTGGAGGTACTAGCTTTTTTAAGGCGCATTGTCGGCGGTAAGCCACTGGTGCGCTCCACTTCCCAGATGTTGAGGTGTAATCGCGCCTGGATAATCCGCCCACCATCCGTGCCTCTCCCCCGGTAACTTTACCGTGTTACTGGGGCCTGTGTTGATTTTTCCCATCTGAAGTCACTCTTCAGGGAGAAATTGGTAAACATCTTGAACTAACCCGGAGGTTCAGTTCTGAACTGGAGAGACCACTGATTTTATTCACCTGGGAATTCATACTATATTACTACTTGCCATGTAACACTGGTGTAGGTTTATGTTTTCTCAGTGATCCTAATGAAAATGCAAATAAAAAGGATTGCACATTCTAAAATGCACTGTGATCATATATCATTATTTACCATTTGAGTTGTATAACGCATAATTTAATCTTCTAAGAAGATACAACTTTTTTAAAGTGTAAAAAGTCACTGTGTATTCCACCTTAAATCTTAGCAAGAAATATTGACTATAAATAATGTAAATAAATAAATAGCTTGATGAACTGCATCTTCCTCTTTTCTCTTTTTAGACTAGTATTAATAGTATGATGAGTGTTTACAGTGAAACTGGGGACTATGGAAATGTGAGGATCAGTGGTGAAATATGTCTCCAAATCAGCTACAACTACAAAACAGGAGCCCTTAACATCGTAGTTAAAAAATGCAAAAACTTGGCCATTGCAGATGAAAAGAAACAAAGAACAGATCCGTAAGCAAAGAGGATTTTCTTTTAGATTATTTTTGATCTCTCCATTCACCTTGCTTGTGAGACTTCCCATGGGACTAGAATGATATGCAATTCCTGAAGTATGATATGGCTTGCATCTTAATGAGGGGTGTTTTATTAGCTCTTGGCATTGTTATATTTCTGAGTATTTGCTATATGCTATAATTCTGAGTATTTTCAGAGACCTTTAGGCTCCTAAAGGTGCCTCATATTTTTCAAACCCAACATAGGAATCTGACTTCAGATTAGAAACTTTGAAATACCATAAATGTTTCAGAAAATCACTTTTGTAACACAGCTCACTGTGAGGCAAGCTTTCCCCCTCAACATTAACAGGACTAATGTGCCTTGTGAAAGAATTCCACATGCAATATTATAAGCTAAGCTACTATGTCCTGAAAAAAATGCAAGACAATTAATATTTCCCAGCATGTGGTAACTTCCTCTTGCATCACATACGGTTGCTTTCACAAAACTGTTTTACCATGTGAAGGTTGTCTGTTAAAAAAAAAATGTTGGGAGTTAGGTCCAAAGATAAAAATAAGGGCATTTTAGTTAACACTTTAGGTTTGGGTAGTGTATCATATTTATTATTCAATTATTATTCAGCAAAAAGGGACAATGACAGTTTACAGTTTTCATGGAATACAAGATTAAATGCAAGTCTAAGGTCTTGATCTCAGGGAGCCATTTTATGTCAACCATAGATTAAATGCTGCTGTGCACAGAAAAACCTTGCACACAGAAATATAACATAGGGAGGAAACCAAGCTGGAACTTTCTCCCTTGATAAATAGCTTTTTTATTTGTAGGGATTGTTTTGTATAGACAAGCATTCGGTCTTTCAGGTCTCCACCTATAGTGTGTAGTGGTGCAGGCCCGGTTGGGCTGCCAACTTCTATGCAAGACCTGGAGTTCTCCCAAAACTGTAGCTGATCTCCATAACAGTTGGGTTGTGTTAAAGATTTACTGTTTACTCTGCAGCTATGTCAAAGCATACCTCCTACCGGACAAGTCTCGCCAAAGTAAAAGGAAGTCAAAAATCAAAAGCAATAGCATCAATCCAGAGTTCAATGAAATCCTGAAGGTGAGATTCTTGTTTTGCACTGAATTCCATTTGTCATTTTGGTAGGCTAGATTAGATATTCTCAAGAGATGAACATTGTTTTTCCTTTTGTATATGGTAATCTTTCTTTCAGAACTGAGAATATTTTCTTTCTTTCTTTCTTTTTAAATCCCCGGAGGGATATTTTTATTATTTTTATATTAGACTACCAAACTACAAAGAAAATATGAGGGAAGGGGACTACATCTAAGGATAAAGGAAAGATAACCACACTATACTAAAAACCCAAGAGGAGGAGACCACATCCTTGTTAATCTAAGTGTTATTAATAAAAGTGTTAGTGCAACAATATACTTGTAGAGTTCTTGTTTGTCTCGGCTTCAATGTTAGTATATTAGTTATTGTGAGAGAACTTTCTGAGCATCTTCTTGTTATTTGCTTCAAAAGCAGAACTGAGAATATTTTCATGACTGTTCTCTTAAAACTTTGTAGTAGGTGTTCAGATTGTTACCAAGTCTAAAGGAGAGTATATAAGAAAGAATTCAGCAAAGTGCCAAAAAAATAATTTCTGAACAATTCCTTAAAGTTCCAGGCAGAACCAGTTAATTTCCTACTAGTACCGGTATGCTGTGATTAACAAGCTAAAATGAGAAAAGCGTAACGTTATTACAGTTGAAGTTCCTCTGTGTCAAGGATTTTTACAGTCTCTTCTCTCTGTTGTGGTCTCCTTTAAAAGCATTCTCAACCGTCTTGAAAAGTCAATTTTACGAAAGATATCAGATTAAGAAAGACACCATTCCATCACAAGAGCCAGCATGGTGAAGAAGGAAGAACTGCACTTGAGAGCTGCTGTTGAAATTTAAGGCATTTAGCTTTGACCAGGCTTTGACCACTCTTGCATGCCTCCTAATCGAGATATATTGTAGAATTTTATGGTGCTACAGAGTGTTCTCAGCTATTGCTTAAACAAAATATAAAGTTCTTGCCTCATGATAATAAAGAAAGCTTGAAAATAGGATTGCCAGCTCAGGGTTGGGAAATACCTGGAGTTTTGGGGGGTTGAGCATGAGGAGGACAGGGCTTGGAGAGGGGAGGTATAATGCCATAGAGTCCACTTTCCAAAGTAGCCATTTTCTCCAGGTGATCGGATCTCTATCACCTAGAGATCAGTGGTAATGGTGGGAGATTTCCAGCTACCACCTGGAGGTTGGTAACCTTACTTAGAAATATGATGCTGGTACATATGTGAAGAGGGAAACATCCCAATATGTAGGGTGGGATCCTGTTACATTTTTTCTGGTTGCATGACTCTTTAGCTGATTCCACTTCCTGTTGTTCCTGATCTGATACACAGAAACAGGATTTCAGGGAACACAGTAAACTGAAGCTGGAAGGGGGAGGTGGCAAAGTTCCATTCCAAGGGTGCGACTGTGCATGTATAGGATCTAACTCACGGTTATTTTGTTTAAGTAATGAGGCAACTGGGCAAAATGTTAGAGATCCATGCAGTGATGTACCTAGCCTATTTGGCACACAGGGCAGATTATTTTTTTATCTGCTGTCAAGTCACAGCTGACTTGTGGTGACCCTGTAGGGTTTTCAAGGCAAGAGATGTCTGGAGATGGTTTGCCATTGCCTGCCTCCATGTTGGCCCTGCTTCACTTCTGAGATCTGACGAGATCAGACTAGGCTGGGGCTATTCAGGTCAGAGCCCCTCCCAATTGTTAGCCGCCCTGAGCCGCTGGGTAGGGCGGGATATAAATCCCAAAATAAATAAATAAATAAAATAGGCAAAATTATTTTCAGTAATAATTATGAAATAAAGCAAATAATAATAATGTCCAGAAAAGAAACGCAGACAGTGAAAATGGTCTTTTTACTTAACTTTGTATATATAATCATGCCAATAGTAAAAAGAAATAAAACTCCAATGCGCTATTCCATCACAATAGCCAGCGTGGTGAAGTGGTTAGTGTCAGACTAGAATCTGGGAAATCAAGGACCTCATGCCCCGCCCTTGGTACACCACTAGAGCCATGAATAGACCATCTGACATCTTTAATTTTCACTAAAAGCCACTGGGGTGGAGTAATTAGAATAGGGACCACAGCACTTGGGCAGTTAACTCTACCCCTGTGCTGGTTCTAGGGTAGAAATCTCCTCCCTCCATCCCTGTGAGCTGCCATAGGTGGTAGAAAGTACCGTAAATCCACAGGTGACTTATGGGGACTCCATAGGGTATAATGCCATAGAGTCTACCTTCCAAAGCAGTCATTTTATCTAGAACAATTATTTTTATAGATATCTACTTTAATAACAGCTGTCTCTGAATGATTAGTCTGCTCTGGTAAAGAGAAAAAATGTTTCTTTTGTGCCTCATTTACCAACTTCATGCAAATAAGGCTGTTCAAGTCACTGTTATGGGACTATAAAGCTTATCTTACTAATATTCTCCATTGGTCTTTTGTTATTCAATAGTACGTCATCAGCCATACACAGCTTGAGACTCGGACCCTGCAGCTTTCTGTCTGGCATTATGACAGATTTGGCCATAACAGCTTTCTTGGAGAAGTGGAGATACCTTTGGATTCGTGGAACTTTGAGAACCAGGCAGATGAATGGTTTGTGCTTCAGCCCAAGGTGAGGATTTTCTGTTATTTCAGAAATTCCACATATAAATCAAGTGAACCAAATGTTTATGTTTTGTGTATGTCAATGCGAAGTGCTTTGTGGATCACAATTTGGACTTGCCTCTTTACTGAGAAGTTTTTGCAAACAGAGGGCATGAAGGTTCAGAAATGAGCTAGTCCATTGTCAGTGTGTTGCTTTGTGTGGCCAAGGCAGTGAGACTGACAGCTTAAATAACGTCCTGGTTGTAACCCAGTAATGTTGTTCTTCTGGCTTCTAAAATACAGTATAAACATTTGCTGCAAGGTAAGAAGGGTTACCAAGAGGCCTGGAGAAAAATGTCCTGTCACTTTAATAGAGGAAATGGGTTGCTGAACCTTATCATGGCATGGAGGTAAACAACGTCCCATTAAGCCTCTGCTAAAGAGACAGGACATTTTTTCTCTCCAGACAGCTGGAAAATCAAAATGTAAGGATATTGAAAAAGAGTTATGTACACTGTCCTTAGAAAACTTCAGAAGGTGCTGCAACACCATTTTATTTGACTGCAGGCATCATTTGACAGATGGGGTTAGTTCAGGTTTTATTTTATATGTTTTAAATTGTCATTTGTAGGCTGCCTTGAACCATGAGGAAAACAGTATAAATATTTTAATAAATGAATAAAATACTACCATCACAAGACCAGTCACGAAATGTTTCTCAAGCCATCATCTTCTGTCACTGTTCCAGATGTGTTTGTGTCCCTGTTCCAGCAAACTAGCTCATAATAATTTCCTTAAGAAATAGAAGAGAAATGAAAAATGTTCTGAAATTTCATAATTAATTATGTGAGTTAGTGTAATAATCTTATTCATAATCTTAATGAAAATTTTAGTCATTGAAGTCAGCTGGGAGACCTGAGATCCAGATTTCTTTCTTTCTTTCTTTCTTTCTTTCTTTCTTTCTTTCTTTCTTTCTTTCTTTCTTTCTTTCTTTCTTTCTTTCTTTCTTTCTCTCTCTCTCTCTCTCTCTCTCTCTCTCTCTTTCTTTCTTTCTTTTTTCTTTCCCCCCCGAAGGGGATTTTTTTTATTGCATTTTCTATAACTAAGTACTACATGAAAAAATAGGGAAGGGTCTACAAACTATGGGATAAAGAAAAGAAACCTCTAAAAACCCAAGAGTGGGTGTCATACAAACAGCTTTAAAAAGATTACATGTTTATATAACTAAGTTCTCATGTAAAACCATCCTTCTATTAAACTTTAAGTCTAAATAAAATCATCGTTTACTATGACTTCATAAAGAGCCTAAGAAAACATAATTTAAACATTTTTTAGAACTTCAGAATTATGATAACTATTTTTTTTCCTTTGTCTTCCTCAATTTATAGCCTGTATTTGGGGTAACTCCATTAACCGCTTTAAGAATTTGATCTTTCACTCTTCTTCTGGAGAATCTCACCATCACTTCTCCCGGCAGATTATTTTTCCTTATGAATTCTGTATACGATCTAAAGACCGTATCAATATTGCTTTGCAAAGTCCCTGCTTTAATATCTGCCATTTGCCCCAAGGCTTCGCTCATTATCTGTATGAGATTCTCCCCTTTTTCCTCATGGATCTCCTGGAATCTTAGGGCATAGCTTGCCCTTTCCATTTGCAACTGTAATAGTTGTGACTCATCTGTTTGATGCTTCTTCTCCATTGCCTGCATTTGTTTTTGTAGCTTTTTGGAATTGGTATCAACTTATTTAAGTTCCTGTTCAGTTTGATCTATCTTTTTGATAGTCTCGTTAATTTGGGCTTGCTGTGTGTCTAGTTTTTGATTTATTGCCGTCACCTGTTCCAGCAGAGGGCGTAGTGCTTCAGTTAATATCATTTGCAGGTCTGAAGTTGTGTCCTGTCTGGGCACAACACTCTCTGGGCTAGCACTTCCGGCAGACTTAGCTTTCTCTATCTTTCCTTTCTCCTCTTTCCTTGTTGGAGGCACCTTTTTTGAGGAATTGTTTACTTTTCAACAAAAGTTATCACAGTCTCTAAAGTTCTCCAATGCGCTTGGTAAGTTCTTAAAAGTCCTTTATTTCGATCTTTTTCGCTTCCGAAGCCCGCCCCCGCCCCCCGCTTAAACAGTAAAGTTTACTTATTTTGTCTTTTCAGGGGAGAGTCCCCTCCCCGCCTTGCTTCCCGCGGGGCGGCTTTTGGCTTTTTTCGATGTTCTCGCTTTAACTTAACTCACAGTTCAATGGCAACACGGCTTTCAGTGCTCTTTAAGTACCAAATCGCTTGATCACTCGGCGCTTGATCTGGTGTGTGTTTCTAGTTCCATCAGGAAACTCTGTAGCAGGACCGTCAGGGCATGAATGGGCCTCCCCTCGCCGGCAGAATCGCCAGAGGGGAAGCCTTCTAGGGCCCCATGGCTTGGAGCCCATCACAAGGGCTCTGTGGGGGATGCGGATGATTGCACCCCCTCCTTGCCACGGGTTCTGGCGATCGTCTCCCGGAGGTCTGGGAGAAAGCGACCGCCATGGTGAGCGCCGAAACCAGAAATCGAGATCCAGCTTTCTGACATCCTACAAGTGTTCAGTTTGCCTGTTTTGCTCAAGTCCATCCGATTCTTTCCTCATGGAAATGTGTTACAGTAGCATTCACTGAATGTTTTATTTGTTTGAGGTTGTAACACATAGCATCAAGGTTTGGAGCTGGACCTTTAGAGGAGACCAAGTTGCAGCTTGTGCACTGCTATCAATTGCAGAGGCCAAGATGGTGTTTACAAATCAATATGCCATTCTATTTCTTGCCTTCAAGGTATAAAGTTGTGTCCATTCTTTGGCTTTCTGCCACCATATTGAAGCAGCAGTAGGTAAAGGTACAAGAAAACTTGTATCTTGGCAGTCATCATATTAAATATGTATACGTGATACAAACCTCTGACAGGAAAAGCTTGCCACAGTTCGCATAGTTTGGCTTTTATATATTTTGAAAGGGAAAGTAAAGGAGAACATTTGCTTCAACAAAACTGTTGTGTTTTTGTTTCATTTGTGCAGGTGGAAGTTGCAGCTGATATTGGTCATCACTATAAAGGAGAGTTGATAGTTGTCTTACGGTACATTCCCCCTGAAAGGAACTTAACTCTTCCCCTAGGAGAGATTCAAGGTAAATTGAGCATTGATGACAGAATCCAGTGATGTATGGTAGATAACTGAAATGCACTATTGTGTACTGACATGTCATAAAATCACAAGGTTGTAGAAGATTGGAATTGCCTAGTATTCAGTTAGCTACCAATCGCTAATGGAATTTCAAACTGCTGCCAGAAATGAACCTCTGGGAACAAGTAGGGTGTACCAGATTTCCTAAATTTGATATTTATACATCAGCATCACAACACTTGTTTTTTTGCTATCTGAGGAAATTTTACCGTTTTACCTTCTTCAGAAAAACTAAGTGAGCATCACACACACACACAGAGCTAAAATCTATAGAAAAAAGAATTGAGTTATTACTTCTTCTGTAATATGACTTCTTCAGTATCCAGATTTCTCTGATATTAAGACAAGAAACGGGGTATGGTTCACTCCAAATCCTGTTATAATTTTGTGCTGTTGCTCAAATTCCACCACCTAAAAGGCTTGTAGCCCCACCTTTTGTATGGTTGGCTCAGGAAAATACCGTGTTTTTGTCATTACATTATTATCACATTTTAACATTTTGAATACGTTTTTAATTGTCTGTTTGAACACTGCACTAGTCATAAATGTATGACTAGTATGACATCTGTGCATTTCTCAGATGCCTTCATTTGGTAAACAATATATTTATCAGGGTGCGTTTATGTGCAAAGGTAGACTCATTTGCCTTCCTTATGAATAGCATAGTGTTCAAAAGTGTTATAGAGATACTCTAACAAGCTTGGTTATTGAGGCTGGAGATAGGAATGGCAAAGATTTCCTTTGGTGAGACAGAGAGAATTATATTGAGGGATGGATTAACATGTTGGTCAGGGAAGGCCTTTAGGCAATAAGGACTAGCTTGTTTCCTGGTCTGGTTAGATGTGTTGCTAGTTTAAGGCATGTGAATCAGTATGGGTGATGGGTATGTTTTTGTGCCCCTGCTCTTCACTGTTTTGTCTATGATGTTAGATTCAGATGGGTAGCCATGTTTGTCTGAAGAAGCAAAAAGGGCAACATGATTTGACTGTAATTGGCCTTTCCTGAAAACATCCTCAATGGGTAGCCATGTTTGTCTGAAGAAGCAGGAAGGGCAACATGATTTGGCTGTAATTGGCCTTTCCTGAAAACATCCTCCTCACCTGCTACCCATATGTAATGGAACAAAGTTTGAGTCCAGTGGCACCTTTAAGACTAACAAAGTTTTATTCTGCACGCACACTTTTTCAGATACACTGAAACAGGTGAGGAGGGTGAGGAAGATGTTGCCAGGAAGGGCCAATTAGAGACAAGATGCATAAGTAACTGAGCAGTAAATATAGCTAAGACTGGATGAAGGCAATTGGTAAGACCTGTGAATAGCAGCAAATTAGCATACAGCATAATAAAGGAGTTTACAAACAGATGCGAGAACTGAATGATGTTAGCATGTGTAGTGAGATAAGAAACCAATGTCTCTGTTAAGCCTTGGGGGTTCCATTGTCCTGAGTAACGGGGATAATTGTACTGGCCTATCCTACAAGGGTGTTTTAATGATATATCTGGTCTGATATATGACGTGCTTTAAATACTGAGACTTCTATATCAGTGGTGGCATTTTGTGATAGGAATGTGTGGCTTTGAAGAGCATGGGAATTTTGAATTCCTATTGGAATTTGTAGTTTATGATGGCAGGATGCTGCCCAAGAGAGTGTAGCCTTACCTCAAGAATGTTTTATAAGTAGTGATATTTTTCTCCTCTTGGTTTATTTTTATTGAAGGAAAGAAGAGCTCTAAGAAAGGAAAGAAGGTAAACCCACACGTGCCATCAGGAGGCATTTTAGAAGTTGTCATTAAGGAAGCCAAAAATTTAACAGCTGTGAAGTCAGGAGGCACTTCAGACACATTTGTGAAAGGGTAATTTCTCTCCCTCTGTGTTTTGCTCAGTATCGCTGGATGTTGGACTGCTTTCTGCATTGAGTAACAATTTATCTGGCTGTATTTTTATTCAAGCAAGTACTCTTTTTTGGTGAGGAAGACCTTTCTTCCTG